ATGATTTTAGAGTTTAGCACTACAGCAACATAAAGCCCATCATGCTCGCAATCTACATGCACTGCAGCTCTCACACAACACAATGACCTGGATCTGGATTGCTATTTATATCAAGGACTATATAGATGTTCTATCTTGCCCTCTGTCTGTGTTTTTGTGGGGCATATTTCAGCCCAGAACTCCTTATCCGCATTTCTCGAACCCTTTTCCCTGTTTCTGAATGCACCTAACCTCCATGCGATCCAGTGTGGTGCGGGAACTGCGCACACTGCTGGCTCTGAAGCTGCTCTGCTCTGACAGAGGCCCGTAACGCAGGGCGAGCAACTGACTGCGCAGACGCAGATACTGCCTGCGCAGCCCCGGCTCAAAGCCACACTTGGCATTCTCGCGGAGCAGCTGGCTGCGCCGGCGGATGTACTGCGTGCGGAACTGGGGGAACGTAGGTGTGCGGTAAGCATTGTACCTGAGGAAGAAGACAAAAAGAGTTAAAAAGACAGAAAATAGACAATAATGTGACACATGATTAGGCCCTACACGTCAAAAACGTACTTATATATATATGGAGTCCTGCTCCAATGACAATCATGCACACACCTTGCGTCCACTGCCAGCACCTGCTGCCAAACAGCAGCCATGAGATCCACAAACACAGAGAGATGCAGGAAACACAAGGGCTGCAGGAGACACAAATACACTAGACATTAAATAAAAAATAAAAAAAACTAATATATATATATAAAACAACTAAAGATGTCAAAACATTATTTGTATATCATTCAATTTAGTTGAGATATGATGCAAGTTTTCATAAAATAACACTAATAACCCTTAATATAAACAATAAATGCAATTAACAATGTAATTTAAAGGTTTTCAAACTTTTTGATGTTAAGGACCCCCAAATACGGCAATTCCCTTATGAGAGACTCTAAATATAATAAATACGTGTTTATAAACATAAAGGCAGCTGCATATTTTATGTACAAAATCCATTTATATAGTGTAAGGAAACTATTCTATGTTATATTATTAAGAATAAAGTAAATTAAATAATTGTTTCCAAAATGAAATATTTGGCTTTTGCATTGTCATTTTACTAAAACAAAATGTTAAAATGTTATCTGGAAATATTTACGTTTAATTAACTTGACAAAGTTCATAAAATTATTTTTAGAAAAACATATTATATATATATATGTGTATATGTATATGCGCAGTTCAGCGCGGCCTAATCACTGACAGAATCACTGTGATATGCAGTCATTATAACAAACCTGATGTTATCTGCTTCGACTGGTTTAAGTATCACCTTTTTTTTTAAGTTCAGTAAGTGTTAAGCTACCACAGAGTCTTATTACCTGACGTGTAATTTCGCGTTTGGTCTCGTTCTGTATCGCGTATCTTGTCAGTGTCTGCGCTTTCTTGGCCATTTGTTGCGGAGAAAATAAGGAAAGTGTGTTCAAGCGCCAGCAGAAAACAGTGTAAAGAAATAGACTTACGACTTCCCAGTGTAAATGGGAAGTCGTGGCTTCGCTTTGGATAAAAGCGTCTAATAAATGACTAAATAAATAAATATATATATATATATATATAAACGCATTTATAAGAAAAATATTTAGCAATTAATGTCTTGATTTCTTTGGAAAGCAGAATGAAATGACTAAATTTAGTAAATGCAAACGTAAAAAATACGTTAAACGTATTTCATTAATAGCTTAAATGCACACATTAACAGTCCTAAAACATATTTTGTAAACAAATAAAAGAAACAAAACTTATTAATCCAGTTTAATGTACAAATAGTACAAGCATCCAACACACTAGAACAATGCAACATGACTAACGTAAGCACAGCGTGTATAAGAAATATATAATAACAAAATGATTCATATTTATGCACAGCATAAACACATAGTTTGTTCTAAAACCAATGTTTTGACGCATTAGCCACAGTTAGCAGAGATGCTAACAACAACAGCCGTTACACACCGATTAACAATCCGCCTAAAAAATCGTGTTAGTCAGCCTGCGGCTATAATATTTCGCTAATAACAATTTCTGAATGGGTTAAACTTACTGAAACGTAATGTCATGTATAATTTTGTATCTAAAGGACACCTACCGTGCGAGACTCTCACCGATTCATTCTGTCTGAAGGGACTGGCGTGATCACGTGACCGACCCGCCCTTCCAACAGCTGATCTGCATATCATTGACGTCACCGCAGCGCGTGTAATGAAGACTGTCCTATGATTTGTATGATGCTGGAGATGGACAGGTCATGCTGTGTCACTTGGCCACGAAAATGTATAAATATTAACATATATGTACATTAAAAAGCAGAGTTTTCTTTACATATATTTTAGTGCATTTAGAATCAGTCAATGAAAATCAATATGCCATCAGAAAAGTCAATATATCTCAGTTTTCAAGTGTGAAGTTCAACAGCATGACAAATGTCTCAGGAGTAAGCTTCACAAACTACAAATATCCATATTAATATATAAACACATATATGAATATTATTTTCTAACTCAAAAAATAATATATTTTTAACAAGTATTTTATATATTTATATTATTAACACATTTTTTATTTTATTTGTGCCAGGTTTAGATATGTCTAAACTTTTTGCTTTGTGCATATCATATCAATACAATTCACTTTATTTTAAGGTGTCCTTGTTATACATGTTACATGTGCTTACTATTAGCCTATAATAACAATAAATTATGCATAATTGCATGCAAGTAACTCTAAACCAAACCCTAATCCTAATCCTAACCATATAGTAAGTACATTTAGTTAATTAACATTACTCAGTACTTAAATGTATAACTACACTGTAACAAGGACACCTTAAAATAAAGTGTAACCCAATTCTTAACAGTTGTGCTGTTTAATATTTATTTTTTATTTTTTTATTACCTGTGATTCTTTGATGAATAAAGAGTAAAAAAAAAAAAAAAAAAACAGAGTTTATTTAAAATAGAAATCCTTTTTTAACAATACACTATCTTTTCTCTTTTTTTTTAATAAATTAATACTTTTAATCAACAAGGATGTGTTAAATTAATAAAAAGTTATAGTAAAGACTTATATTGTTAGAAAAGATTTCTATTTTGAATAAACACTGTTCACAAGTTTTCATTCATCAATAAATCCTGAAAAAAGCATCACAGATTCCCCCAAAAAATGTCATTTTTAAAATTACGAGTATCGGCACATCCCTAGTTTGCATGCATGTGAGCCTATGATCAAACAAAATGTTTATATTTATGTTTGTATATGATAGTTTTATAAATTTCCCAAAATTTTCAATTAATTCCCGTAAATTCCCATAAATTCCTAGTAAGTTTCAAACTTGTAATATTTTCAAAATTCACAGACGAAGTTCCCATGGAAAGTTTCCGGAAAATTTCCAGAAATTTACCGGAAATTTTCCGCCCCTTTGCAACCCTATATGTAAATAATGAAGATACAACATTGTCTTGGTAAAACTAACATAATTCATCAGAAGAAGTAGATCAGAGTCTGCAGATCGCCCTAAATTTCAAACTGGAATATTACAATTTCAAAATTACTACGTTTATCTGTGTTGAGGGAAAGGCTGTGGGAGCGAACTATCAATCTGTGTTCAGCAAAATAAAAGGGTTAACTGTACAAAAGCTACATACACATCCATGATTTCACCTGAGCTCAGCAGAGGCCCATGGTAGGACAGTGCAGAGGCACAGCTGACGGGGCTCTTTGCTTGTTCCTGATGCTCTTTCCCGAAGGGGGCCCGATGGAGTCATTCAGTGGCCGGGGCCATAAATGAGGGCCGCGCCAGCGGCTCAGCACTGCTTATTCTAAAAGGACACAAGGACTTTGGAGCGCAGCCAAAATGCCTGGAACAAAAGGTAGATATTGAAGCAAAGCATGAAATATGCACATTTTTAAAAATGATTTCATATGATATGTAATGTGCAAAACTGCCGCCATAATAATATGCAAAAAGTAATGTCCTGAATGTTTTAACATTTAACAGGTAATAAGGCGGACAAGAAATCCACCACCAAGATAAAAATTGCCCACAGCAGACCCATTGCACATATTGGAAAGTTACACATGCATAATTCATAAAGCCTGCTCAAAATCAGTCACTGTTAGTATTGGCTAATGTTCTGGCAATGTTCTCTCAAATGTATGAAAAAAAAATTCTTCCAGCAACATTAATAGAACTTCTGTTGTCTGAGCTTTAATAACGTTCGCAAAACATCAGCACAAAAACCTTATTTAGACATCGTTCATGGAATGTTTTTTTTCCTGAAATATTTTATTAAATGTTACTACTTGTTTCAAGATGTTCAACGAACATTAAAGAGAACTGTTCCTATAATGTATGCACAATGATTAATGTCGCCCATTTGACCACAATGGGTCACATATAGATGAATCCGATGGGGTCACTTGTTCGGTGATTGTTCATCCTTGAGATGTTAACTCAAAATTGTCTTTGTGATGTTAGCAGCTGTAGAAACCTTCTGAGGGCTGTTTTCATCTGCAGAACATTCAGTCTCAGCAGGTGTGTGTCCCTTGAGTTTGGCAGGTGGATGAATGTCTCCAGGGTTTCCCTGTCTCAGAAGATCAAAGTATCTGAGTTTCTTTTATCCTTACAATTAATGAAACATTCCCATAATGTTTTCTCTGACGTTCACATTAACCAAGAAAAATAAAACCTGGTTGTTTTAAACATTCTGAAAACATTTCGAAATAACATTTTCATAACTTAATAAGAACGTTAGCTAAACGTTCTTTTATTCGCTGGGTTAACTAAGATCTTTAAACATTCTTCCAGTAACATTCACAGAATGTTCATCTAAAGTTGTCTGGTCTTTAATAACGTGCACAGAAATACATTGTTCATGGAACATCTTTTTCTGAAACATTTTTTTGAATGATATTACTTATTACTTGTTTCAGAACATTCAAAAGTAACTTTCCTATAATGTTTGCAAAACGATGACTGGAACATTCTCTTAATGTTTACATTAACATATTCTTGGAACATTTAGAGAACATTCATTGTTAGCTGAATAACTTAGATCTTTAAATGTTCTTCCAGTAATAGTAATATTAATAGTCGTTCATTTAAAGTTGTTGGTCTTTCATGTTCGCACAAAAACGTTATTTATACATCCTTCATGGAACGTTGTTTTCTGCAACATTTTTTAAACATTGTTACTACTTCTTTCAGAACATATAAAGACCATTCAAAAGAAACATTCTTCTAATGTTTTGCACAATGATAAATGGGACATTCTCTCAAAGTTTTATCTAACATTCACTTTACCAAGAAAAAAAACGTTTTAGATATATTAAATAACAGTCATTTTAAATACTCAGAGAACATTCAGGCATAACGTTTTCATAACTTAATAGGAACGTTAGCAAAACGATATAAGAAAAAAAAACTGAGATCTTCAAATGCTTTCTTTTGAAATTGAATTTTATTTATTTATTTTTCCCTGTAGCAACCACAGAGTCCTAAGGAGCAGCCGAAGAAAGGTGATCAGAAAGGAGATGACGCCAAAAAGCAAGGAGGTAAATATTGACAACAGCATAGAAGACACGAGTGAAAAAAAGGCATTTCAGATGCATGAAATACAAGCAAAAATTACGCCGCAAATATCTGAAATGTAAAATGCTTTTTATGGCTTATGAAAGTAAATGTTTGACTCACAAATACAGATTTGTTTGATTGATTACAATAGAATAAAGTGTCAAACGGTGTTTATTGTGTGGGAGAAACACTATACGTTATCTTGAAGCAAATGAGAGAGAAGATTGCACATTTCTTGCTCTCAGAGACAAGTGGATTTAATTGCACTTGCTGTATGTTTCCAGTCAAGGTATCTGTCTCTGTGTCTTCCCCTCGCAGGACAGCCGAAGGGAGAGAAGCAATAATTTCCAGGCCTTCGTGAAGCTGGCTCTGGAGACTCTCCTGGGCTCTTGTCGACGCAAGCATGGGGGCCCCCGGGGGAGGCAGGGCTAAGGTTTGCTCCTCCCACCACCCAGCCAATCACCAGCATCCATCTGACCGTCGCTAGACAGAGCTTGGCCTAAGCTGCCGACAGACTGTCCCTACCTCCTCACATGGGTCTCACGTTTGAATAACACTGGTGATCTGCTCATTGGAAGTTGGGCCAATATAAAGACTCCAGAGACTCTGTGACCCCGCCCTCATCTGTTCATTTGGCTCCGCCCATGTCATAGATCTCAACTGTGCTGTACATAAATGAACTGATTTACAAATAAACATGATTTCATACACTTGCCATAATTTGACATTTTGACTGATTTTTAAATCTAATTATTTATTTATTTACACACACAGTGCTATTCAAAAGTTTGTGGCCATTAAGATTTTTAAATGTCTTTGAAAGTAGTCTCATGCTCATCAATGCTTCATTATTTTCAACAAAAAGACATGTAGCCTCTTGCTTTGACCTACAATAACATGTGCATTATAAAATAAATCAATTTTTGCCTATACCGGCCCCATGTGAACCAGCATCTGGCCTAGTAGACAGCAGAGAGAAACAGATGAAGTGTAACCATGCATTAGAGACAGCGCTCAGGGAATATAATGCATGTATGTAATATATTAGGCTGAGGCAGCAAAACCATAGGATGTATTTGTGAACAAGTGTTTTAGGAGGTGCATGTAGTCTTCTAACTAGATTAGGGGTTGTGTTGGTTCTGGAAATAAAGCATATAAAATGCACTCCAGTATTTGACCATACAGTGCTTCTGCATTATGGAATGTCAGAAAAGCAGAATGCCATTTTTCTCTTGACTTAACCACATCAGACAGATTGTGCGTGTGTGTGATCATATATGCAGAGCCACATATGCAGAGCCATAAACCTGTCAGAGGGATGTGAGCATTTCACTCCGGATGCGCTCCAAAAAAATATGCCATTCATATTTAATCTCAAGTAATGAATATTTACTGACAGCAGTGACGCTATCATATGTGGCCATTTAACCAAAGATGTCATGCGATGGTCAGACCTGTATAAACTGTTATACTGGCTCACCAAGAGCTTGTAACACTCTAAAGAGAAAGGAAAAAATGAAATCGCATCATATGACCCCTTTAAGAGAGAACAGACACAGGATATGAGAATAAATCTAATCTAATCTAATATAAAACTCCTG